GAAACGGGTAATGAAACGAACACTGGCAAAGCCCCCAACAAGGTGATGAGACCCGGTAATATGCCTGTACGGTGCCTGTTACATGGTTTTGGAGAGCGCAGGAACAAGGCGAATGGAAAAGTTGCCAGCTGCTTTAATGGCATGACAATACACAGACCGTTCAAGTATTCAAGTATCTTTGTACTCTTCGTATTCATCCATATGGATGCCAACCTCGAAGCAGTAGCATCTCTGCACTGTTGTTTCGGTTTACACGCATCAGTTTACGGCTTGCTGTGAAAGGGCCAAAATTTTTGCGATGAAATCGATAGTCGATAGATAACAGAAGATACACAGACACACATATGTTGACTAAATGCATACCCATACGAAAATATCTACCTCATTCCACAACTTGTGACTTCCTATCATCTTATAGAGAGCAGCTTGAGTGAATACATTTTGACTCAATACCAGCTCCTTAGCACAATCATTTTGAGACAAACTGGCTTTCGCTCGCAATTTTAAATGGCAGCAGCTGTAATCTGAGATAAATACTGAAATGAAGGGTTATTGCTGAGCGAAATGACGCTGGTATAATAAGCGTAGGTGATTTGAACGATGACTGAACTGAACTGTCCGGTTGAAAGGTTTTTGCGCATTTCGGCATATCAAGACCTTACAAGCTTTCATCTATAGTGCGACTGTCGTGACAAGTTAGTATACGCAGAAAACTGCACCGTGATTGACGCAACATGCCTTTCTACAAAAACAGTTTATAAACGATTTGAGACACCGCTTACCTAGCTACTGCAGCGATATGATGTCAACCGAAAGCAACAGTGCACGTGGTCACTGGTCAGAATGAAAGATACTCTTTTTGATTTGGCTGCAAGTTTGGCACCGATTAGTGTTGAAGTACTTCATTCGCAAAACTAGAACAAACACAATGCCCCTCCTCAAACGCAATCAATAATGGCTCATCCGAGTGCGGTTGAATAACACTGACCATTAATATTGACGCCAATCGGACACAAACCATTCACTGCCGGGCCATCTGGAAAAATGTGCATCTGGTGAGTCGCCTATTTTAACCGACACAACAAAGGGAGGAGGGAGACGGCGGAAATGGTGGTGGAAAGGGGGTGGGGGGAGCAAAAGTGGTACAGAAGCCTTTTTGTACATGTGCAAATAGCAAAACATGAATTGTGTGA